AAAAGGGAAATCAAAGGAATGCGACGGAAAAGAAAAAAAAAAAAAAAGGAACCAACCGACGATGGAAAAAAGGAAAAGAAAAAAAGGAGGACGGCTATCCCACGGCGGGCGCTTCGAGATATTCCCTCGCATCGACGCCCGCTGCCGACCCGACCTGATGGGCGCGCTCGCTCGTTTTTTGGCGCGCTGTGAACAATTCGGTACGCGCACCGCTCTGCACGCCCCCCCTCCCTCGATCGCCTTCATCCGCTGGCCCGAATCAAAACTTCAGCCCGATTCCGGCACGCAGCAGACACAACCTCCCCCTGCAGGCCGCTCGTGCTTAAGGGGTAGGATAATTGGCAGGCCTGTCATGCACCTGACCGTAGATGTAGGCTAGTATATGTAGACTAGAACACCAATAACTTTTAACCATAGCTCTAGGCAAGATCCATCGACCTCGTGCTCTCAAGTTGGTCGGCCTCATTCTCCACTTCAGATCTCAGAGGAGTCACAACAGCCACTTGGAGTTTTGAGTCGGATATCTGATTGTCTATAAAAGCTAGATTCTGAGGTGGATTAGAACGACTCATATTATCTAGTGATACCCAGTGCAACCACAATACTTCAGTGCTTTAAATCTAGAAGCAAGGCCCAAAACTTAGGAATATCTGTTGTAGCCTTGGCTTCTAAATAGTAGGGTTCATCTATCTGTGCTTACTTAAGGCATTGCATTTTAGTGCGGTAGCTTCCCGGGGTAGATAAAACATTTTCGAAAACACAATTTTTGTCATCCACTCATGAACAATAGGGCCTGAAAGAGAATATAATTTTTACGGGCAGCGACATTGTGGAGGTTGTGATCGTGCTATCGACACGTTATTTACCTGTAGTTAGCATAAGTAGGGTAGGAAGCAATCTTGATCGGTATCCATGGTGATCTTGGTTTAGTGAATGTTGTCCGCCTTGAAGATCCAAGGGTGCGTAATGGGAAACCCTTCTAGGCGGTTCAGGCTTTGTCAACATATTTTTTTTAATTTAGGTTAAGGTTGGCTAAATTGAGTTGCCTGTTGGGACGCGGGACCCGGTTTCTAGCCAAGCGACAGGCGGAACTGGTGCGGCCAGGGGTGGACGGTGGACGCGGTGTGTATGTGTGTGTGTGTGTGTGTGTGTGTGTGTGTGTGTGTGTGTGTGTGTGTGTG